GATCGTGGAGTGAGGTCCTCTACTTATGGGTGGTAGTCCCGCTAATCTCGCGACGGTTACACCCGGTAATCTCGGGACCGTCGGTTACACCCGGTAATCTCGGGACCGACGGTTACACCCGATAATCACGCCGCTGACAGTAGCTCACCTCGGCCCCCACCGAGCTTCCCGGTAGATCGGACCTCGGCCAGGTTCACCTCGGCCCTCATACTTAGCATCTGTCAACGCTAGCGGTGGTGATCTCGGCGGCCCGAGCTGGACATGACTCATGAGTCATCTTGGAGCACCAATAGGGGTCCTCCACGTGTCCAGGGTATTCTCTTCCCCAAACAAGCTTCTCACGCTTCCTTTTTACGTCGAGAAAAAGTGAGTCTCGTGCACCAAATTGCCAAACTTCTCTCGATGTTTTTAAAAAGTGTCTGGAGAAGTAGACATATCCAGACGCTTTTTTTGTGCGTCGGGAGATATCTTAAAGAAAAAAAAAATCATAGCATCGCTGCTGTTTGTTGCAAGGTGTCGCCCGTTGCCGTTGCCCGCGAGACCCCCCTTCAAGCAATTCTATTCTCCTCTCTCTTTGCGGTTGCTGTCGCTCATCTCTCGCTGGCACTGTTTATCCCCTTGATGGTTGCCGCTATTCGTTGCTCACTGCTGCCATCTTTGTTGCCTCCTGGTCTGCTGGTGAGGTAATTTTTCCTCTTTCTGTGCATACTTTAGTAGATTTTATGCCCTTGAACTTCAAATGCCCTCATACTTATTGATACAAGAATATTTAAAGATTGGCCTACAATAGATTGAGTTGATTGGAACATGTGAGATCAGTTTACTGTACTTTTTTTCTTGACAGAATATGACTACTGATGGTAGAATTTAGAGAAGAATGAAAAAGCCTTCAAATTTTACCTCACCCATTTATGGAAGAAATGAGTGGCGTTGTTCCATTCCAAGTTCCAATTTGATTCTCAATTATTATTGAAGTGTTCATGCCCAGTTTACTTAATTAATTGAGATGAAAATGTGTGGGCATTGAATGAAAAAATTGGGATAAGGATTAACATAGTTGCTCTTGGTATTATTAATAAATTTTACCTCGAGAATTTGTTTAGTACTGTACTGGAGGTGGGAAATCTAACCCTTAGACTCTTGTTTAGAGATATATATACTGTTGAGCTCTGTTCACTTTGACAATTTTACGAGATTCAAACTTTGATTATAAGAAATTTACATGGAGGAAAAAGAGGAAGTAAGTCAATTCATTATTTCTTTTCTTTTATTCCCAAAATGCACAAGCACAACAAAATCAATTCTTTCAAAAGACTATTTTGATATGTTTTCTTAAAACCACCCAATAAGATCATCAAACTTACTTACAGTAGAAGACCATCTGAAAAAATTAACATGGACATTATCCCAACAAATCTGTTTGGGGAAGAGAATACTCTGGACACGTGGAGGACCCCTATTGGTGCTCCAAGATGACTCATGAGTCATGCCCAGCTCGGACGGCCGAGATCACCACCACTAGCGTTGACAGGTGCTAAGTATGAGGGCCGAGGGAAACCTGGCCGAGGTCCGACCTACCGGGAAGCTCGGTGGGGGCCGATGTGAGCTACTGTCAGCGGCGTGATTATCGGGTATAACCGTCGGTCCCGAGATTACCGGGTGTAACCAACGGTCCCGAGATTACCGGGTGTAACTGTCGCGAGATTAGCGGGACTACCACCCATAAGTAGAGGACTTCACTCCACGATCAGGTACGATGCTTTCTGACCTCGAAGTAAAACTGGGAATCCGGCCTGTACTGACTTGATCGTCGGAGTGCTCACCTTTCTGTGCAGGTCCGCCCAAGTATTCAGATCGGTCCGGAGGCCGAGTTTGAGCTGCAATCTGAAACACACTGTTGTGCATATCCTTGCATAAACATTTGGCGCTGTCTGTGGGAAACGACAATCTAAGTCATCCCAATCCTTTTAAACTAATACGCGAAGCGAAAATGGTTCAACCCGCAAGCTCGACCAATACGGCAGATCGAAGGACCTAGCTGCCAGCGATGCCCACCAGAGGGAGGTCGGAGCAGCAGTGGTAGAGGGGCAAGGTCGCGACGGCCTAGCAACAGAACCCCTCCGCAGGTCGGCACGAATCACCGCGCCTGTTCTACCGCCCGCGCACCCGAGGACATCCAAGGCCACCCGTGGCTGATTACGCTTGTTTACATGCGTAAAAAGAAGGTTTTAGATGCTGTTTTTACTATGTTTCGGCTTTGTTTC